CCAGGAGCTCGCGCATGTTAAGCATACGGGTCAACCACTGAGCTACACTGTCCCCACCCCTCACCGGGAACTTTTTTCTTATGACAGCTTTTTCAAGCCGTAATTCACATACCACACAATGCACCCATTACAGTGTGCAATTCAATTGTTCTTGATATAATCAGAGTTGTGCAACCATCACCACAATCAATTTGATAACACCTCCAAGAGAAACTCTGTACCCATTAGCAGTTACTCCCCACCCTCCCCCGTCCCAGCTCCCAGCCCTCCTCCACCCCTCCACCCCTGTCCCCAACTACTAATGTACTTTCTGTCTCTATAGATTTGCTTATTCTGGACATTCCATATAAATAGAATTATAGAATATATGGTCTTTTGTAACTGACTTCTTTCACTTAGCATAATGTTTTTGAAGTTTATCCGTTTTACCGCTAAGTAAAACTGTTGTATGGTTATACACCATGTTTCCTCATTCATCAGCATTCAGGTTGTTTCCACACTTTATCTCCGACGGGTAAAACGCAGCTATGAACAGTGGTGTGTGTACAAGTTTTTGTAAAAACACATGTTTTCATTTTTCTTGAGTATACACCTAGAAATGGAGCTTCTGGGTCACGTAGTAACTGTCTGTTCAGCCTTTTGAGAAGCTGACGGGTTGTTTTCCACAGCAGTTGCACTGATCTTCATTCCGACCAGCAGCATGTAAGGGTTTCAGTTTCTCCACATCCTCCACAACACTTGATATTATCTGACTTTCTGATTCCAGCCATCCTCGTGGGAGTGAAATGGTGTCTCATTGTGGTTTTCCTTTTCTTTTTCTTTTATGTGCTTATTGGCCATTGGTGTCTCTTCTCTGGAGAAATGTCAGTTCAGATCCTTTGCCCATTTTTATATTGGGATATTATCTTTTTATTATTGAGTTGTCCTTATTACTGAGTTATAAGATTTCTTTAAACATTCTAGGTACAAGTCCCTTATCAGAGATAGGATTTGCAAATATTGTCTCCCATTCTGTGGTTGTCTTGGCATGTTCTTCATGGTGTCATTTTGTGCCAACTTTGCACACAAGTTTTTAATTTTGATGGTGTTCAATATCTATTTTTTCTTTAGTTGCTTGTTCGTTTGGCATCGTATCAAAGAACCTGTTGCCTAATCCAGAGTCAGGCCGGGCCGTGGGCATTTTGGAGCGATGGCAGGGTGAGACCTGCATCATGACAGTTGGGTACATGAAACAGGGTGACCAACAGGCAGTCGTGTCCTTGGGAGCACCAAGTCCAGCTACATCCCTCTTGAGCTCAAGGAGCAAGGCCCTACTCTTCCTGGTCATCCTGGCTCCTCCCTGGGCCCTCCTCTCAGCCTCTCCTCCCCCACCTCCCTGCCCCAAATGGCTCCGCATCAGTCCTGTAGTAACTCTCTGTGGGAGAGGCAGGGTCTAGATGGCCCACTCCCTGACTCTGGCCTGAGCTAAGAGTTCGAGACAGCAACCCCATCCTTGGTGTGCCCAGACTCCCACCCAGTCCTGGGCAGGGTGACTAACCTCCTCACTGCCCCACCGGGTCTCCAGGTCCTGCCTTCGCATGCACACACGCCACCCTTCATTCTTCTCCCTCCTGTTCCCTCTGGGCTCTGGAG